GCCAAATGGTCTGCATTCAGATGCTGACTGCGCCTCTCCCCAGATATGAACATTCAGGCAAGGCTCCACCCTCAAAAGGTTGGTGAGAAATTAAAATCAGGTAACAATTTTAACAATGATAGGATATAGTTGTTAATTAATTAAATGAGGCCAAAAAATGGATTCTGGCTGGGTATGGTGGTGCACGCCTATAATCCCAGCACTCGAGGAGGCTGAGGCAAGAGGACTGCTGTGAGTTCAAGGCCAGCCTGAATTATAGAGTGAGACACTGTCTCAAAATAAAACAAAAACAAACAAATTTAAAAAAACAGAAATGGATTCTGATTATAGTCACATATCACTTCATGACACGGAGAGGTGTTTCATCACAGTGTTTACACAAATTAAATTGGCTACAGCATGTGAAGGCAACACACTGTACATGTGATCCATTCTTACAGTAGTGATTGTACTGAATAAATTCCAGGTCTGCAGGCAGACGGCAGGCTCCAGCCCCCACAGCTAGAGCCTGCCACCCTCTTTCACCTTCCCTGCTGTGTACCTGTGTCCGGCAGGTACTGGAACTCCATGGGCTCGCTGAGCTCTCTGTCAGAAGGCCGCCGCAGCTGCATGGAGACGCGCACAGGGGCCTGCAGGCTAGGGTCAGCATAGGGAGGTGTCCGGAACACAATGGCCACTTGCCGGTGCACGTCAGCTTGGGAAAAGGAGCCTCGGGCCTCCCATCCTGGTCCCGTGAAATACACCTCAATGTCCTCTGCAGAAGATGGGTCACAGCATGGGTCAGTGTGTCTCACTCCCCCACACACAGCCTGTCACCCCACTACACTGCATCTTCTTTTGTGGTAATGTGGACTGTACCCAGGGTTTCTCATGTGTTAGAAAACTGCTCTACCACTACATCCTAAGTCCTTTTGTAACATTTTATTTTCAGATAGGGTCTTGCTAAATTGTCCAGGTTGGGATCACACTTGCAAACCCCTTATGAAGTAGCAGGGATTACAGGCGTAGGTGACTGAGAACCAGCATGTCCCCAATGTCTGATGCTTGTCTCCTAAGCATCTCCTTAAGGCAATGAAGGACCTAGCACTGCCACTTCTGTTCAGCCCTACCCCTCCTCTCTTGATCTAGAAAGTCCAGCCTCGACTCCAGCACATTACCTTTCTGCACTTTGTCGCATAACAGGAAGATCTCATCCCCACCAAGGCAGCTCCCAGAGTTTCGGTTCACTCTGCAGATCTTGAGCTCAGCAGTGTTGGGGGCACCTAGGGTGTGATGACAAGGAAGGAAGTCCTGAACCACCAGAGGTCCCCAGGGTGTCCTGCAACAGCCCCAGCAGCCCAGCCTGGTGCAGCATCAAGGTTACCCAGAGCTTGTGCCCACAACTCTGTGGCCAAAGCCAGACCATTCTCAGCGGCCCCTCACCCCAGCCAATTCTACAGCTCTTTACCTATTATGAGCTCAACATGGGTCAAGGCAAGGAGAATAAGACAGCACAAAACCTACATCTCTCTGCCCTCACAGAGCTTGTGGTACAGAGGGAAATGATGTGATAGCACCTTTCCTTTCTTCTCCTGACCCGGTGCATCTTCAAGGTGAGGTTTACATGCACCTTTGCAACAAACACTTCCCTCCTGACGCCCAGTTCACACTGGTTTCCAATTCACGGGGCTCAGAGCTGTTTTATTTGTTCTGCTGGTTACTTAAGATTGCAATTCCAACCAGGTGTGGTGGCTCACACCTATAATCTCTGTGCTCAGGAGGCTAAGGCAGGAGGATTGCTGCAGGTTTGAGGCCAACCTGAGCTACATAGTTCAAGCCAAACTAAAGCTGTCTTTAAAAAAAAAGGAAAAGAGTGCAACTGATCAACATCGGCCTAGTTTATCTGTGAGCTTCCTGTAAGCTGCCACCATTAAGCTATTACTGTCCAGCATTATCTTCTTTCTGGGAGTTTATTTCCTAGAGTCACTAGCACAGTTCTGGGCGCACGGAGCTCCTCTCCCAGGTCACACCCAATCTGCCCCTTCCTCTGTCCTGGGCCCATTCCATTCCCCTTCCCACAGCTCTCCCCTGCCACTCACGGTTGTCAAAGATGGGATGCGAGAGGACAGGAGGCAGGCGGAGGGGCCTGCCTGATTGGTCCCGCACTGTCACCTGGAAACAGAGCCGCACAGCATTCAGGTCATAGTCCCCACGCTGCTCTTCTATGGGAACTATTAGAAAAAAAAGAGAAGGTCAGGAAAGCCTGGGCTGGGGCAGGCACAAGAGGGGATAAGGGAGGGCAGGGAGCTCCAGGCTGGGGGCGCTATTCGAGGGAGCGGGGAAACAAAGTTCCAGACCCATCATTGACTCTGTGGTGGCCTGGAATGTCGAGTCCCCTCTTGGGGCCTCAGTTTCCCAGGGGGAAAATAGGAATGTATACTAAATGGGCAGCAAGATTCCACATGCAGTGTGAGTCTTGGCCACTGCAAGAGATTCAGGGCAGACGGACAAAGGACAGGAATGTTGTGGGCAGACCAAGTCTCCTCACCTTGGAAGGGATTGTTGTTGGTCTGGATGCGCTGGCTGATCGCCTGTTCCAGGTCCCGCTTCTTCACACACTGGATCCCCAGGTTCTGGAAGCTGAATGCCCCCCAGGCATCAGTCTGGTGTCTCAAGCAGACCCTGGACCCTCCTGCTTGTCCAGTCTGCCCACCCCATCACTGCTTGTGGCCAGCCCTCCAGAGGCATCCCCTTGGGCTGGGCTGAACCCAGCCAATGCCAACCTCTCTAAGGGCTCCCAACCCCAAACACAGGACTTTTCTTTGTGACTCTGACCTGGAATTCACTGTGTAGCCCAGGCTGGTCTTGAACTCACAGAGATCCTCCTGCCTCAGCCTCCTGAGTGCATTACAGGCGTGAGCCACCACACCTGGCTGGGGCTTCTTTTACATTCTCCAAAGATTTTGCTCATGCCTACCTGAAGGCTATGCACTGGTCTATCCTGTGTACAATGCCTTCTATGGGGCTCTGCTCTTCCTCACCACACTGTGTAGCCCAGGCTGGTCTTGAACTCACAGAGATCCTCCTGCCTCAGCCTCCTGAGTGCATTACAGGCGTGAGCCACCACACCTGGCTGGGGCTTCTTTTACATTCTCCAAAGATTTTGCTCATGCCTACCTGAAGGCTATGCACTGGTCTATCCTGTGTACAATGCCTTCTATGGGGCTCTGCTCTTCCTCACCATTCAAACCACTGCTGAAAGAGGCCTTTCCTGACCTTCCAATCCAAAGCCATGAAACCAACTCTTCTGCCTCCCCCTGGGATATACTACCAACCTACTCCTGTTTTATTTTCACCACTGAAATTACTAATTCAAACAGTAGTTTATTTTCAAAATTACTTATGGCCTGTCTCTGTCCACTGATAAGTAAGCTCTAGGTGAGTCCTGTAAGTTCAATGGTTTTCTTTCTCATACAAGAACCAGGAAACTGAGGAACTTTCCCTTCCAGACAGAGAGATCAGGGGCTCTGAGATGACTATGGATCCATCTCTACCCCATGGACTCCTATCTGCTACACACTCACCATCCTTGGCCTTCAAGGAGCTCACCTGTGGATGCAGCGGTCCGGGCAGAGCTCGGCCTCATAGAAGCCATCCCGGCAGTCCTTCCCCACCAGCTCATGGGGGTGAGGCCGGTGAGGAGGGTCTTTGGTGACCAAGGAGATGCGAACTGTCCCTGGTCCTGTGTAGCCATTGATCTGTCCAAAGTACAGAGAGTACTCTAAAGGCCCAGTAATATTGAACGACCTGGAACAAGTGAGCTGGGGCTCCGAAGTCCCTTCTGCCACACCTGTGACCCCTTCCCCACTCCTGGGTGCTGACCTTGATGGTGGGGTGGGTCTTGGTGGTGTCTGTGCTCCTCTCGCCTGGGATGCTGCCTGCTGAGCGGCCCTCACACTTGTAGCGGAAGCGCATGCCCCGCTGCTTGGGCTGCTCGATGATCTCCACGTAGGGGCCAGAAGCCTGGGCTGGCTCTACATGGACCACAGCCAGCTCAGTCAGGCGCTGCCCCATAGCTCCTAGCCCCAGGCAGCCCCTCCCCTACCACTGAGAAAGGATGGTCCACTTACCTGGGGGGAAGATGAGGGGGAACAAGTCTGAAAGGGAAGGAGACAAAGATCAGCCCAAGTTCTCACCTGGGAGGGCCTGATGGGCTCAGGCTTCCCCCCAAGGAAACTGGGTCAGGACCTGTTCCCTACAACCTGGCCTGAAACCAAGGGATGGGAGTAGAGTCAGCAGCACCTGCTTCCGGAGGGCAAACAGTACGTACTCCCTCCCCTACAAGGGGAACCAAGTCAAGGCCTGCTGTATTTTCACAGGGACACTGAGGGGGGGCACTCCCTACCCCTCCTCCTCAGAGGAAAACTGAGTTAGATACATTCTTCGCTACACAGAAACGAAGTCAGAGCTGCCCCCATTGACGCCGGGGGAAACTGAGTCACGACTCACTGCGAACTCTTACCCAGGAAGGATACTGAGTACTCAAACAGACTCCCTTCCACCCAGAGGGGAAACTGAGTCAGGCCCCTCGTTGCCCGCCCCG